CAACCCCCCCTCCCCCATAAATTACTCCATCCTATTTCTCCATCACTCCCCACTATTTCCCACCACGAGCCCCACCACCACCTTCCCCATCACTCCTGGCATTTCTCTCCCTGATTTCCGCGGCCATGCCACTCTGCAGATGGAAGTTGACCACGGCAAACAGCCCCTGCCAGGCACACTGGACATCCGGAGACCACATGTCTCCCAGTTTGGGCTCGATGGCGGAGACAAACTGTTGACCGATTATCTGTGGAGAAGAGAAGGAAGCAGGGCAACATTATAGTTTGGTAACTTCCATAACTTGAAAGTCCTTGAAAATTGAAAATTAACATATTTTGTGCCGTTAATCAACGTTATTCAGTAAAATTCTGGTGGAAAAACACCACCTTTTATTTTTATTTTTTTTTTGGGGGGGTACCATCTGATAGCACTATTTTAACGTTGGCTACATGACACCCTGAACATACAACCATCTAAAGGTTCTATTTTGATGTTGACTACATGGATTAAGATACAAGCTACAGAAATGAGATGCTTTCGGAGATTTTTGGACATCTCCTATAGACATCCTGTTACAAATGAGGAAGTGAGGAACAAAATCAGGCATGCCATTGGGCCTTGTGAAGATCTCACCACTGTGAACAAAACGCACACTGAGATGGTATGGGCTCATAACAACATCAATAGCACTAGCAAAGATGATCCTACAGGACACAGCACACAGAAGGAGGGAGAAGGAAAGGCAGACAGAAAAGGAGATGGGAAGGCAACGGATTGGACAGTTTTAATATAATTGGGAGAAGCCCTTCGAACGGCTGTAAAAATAGAGAAGGAGGGAGAAAAGTGATCGCTCAATCATCCTTGGTGCCCCAACGGTCATCTAGACAAAACGATAAGTAAGTTAGTAAGACCACTACAACTAGCCCATCCACCTACCGGCACTATCTTGATGTTAGCTCTGTAATCAACGTGTCGTCGTCCCAAGGCTGTTATGACATTGCTCATCTTGTCCAGGTTGTCTAGTCTGGTGACGCATTTGTCCACTGTCTGCATCACACGAAGGGCGTGAGCCTGGGAGGGGGTAAGGATAAAATCCGAGTTTAGTTTTTGTAAGACTTTTACGGTACTTGCAAATCAATAAAGTTTTATTATAAGTGCAAAATTAGAGGAATTACTGTTACAAGAGAGTAACCAGCACAAAAAGGAGGAGGAGAGATATGTACGAAAGATGTTTGAAAGGAATGACGAAGGAAACTACGCCGGAGCACCCGCCAACCAGAGAGACTGGTTTGAATATAATAATAATATTATTAACTCATGCATTCATTAAAAAAAGGTTAAACTCACTGTTGCACTGCAAAAGCCTTTCTTTCTTTAAGGGTGTGTTTAAGTGTTAGAGAGAGAGAGAGAGAGAGAGAGAGAGAGAGAGAGAGAGAGAGAGAGAGTACTCTGCGTTCGTATGAGGGTAAAATGTGTGTGTGTGTGTGTGTGTGTGTGTGTGTGTGTGTGTGTGCGTGTGCGTGAGTGCGTGTGCGCGGACGTGTGTGTGTGCGTGTGTTTGTATCGGTGTGTATTTGTGGTGCGTGTGCGCGCGCATTTGTGAGTGTGTGTAAGCTATGTAAGTGTGAGTATGTGTGTATGCGTGTGTTTGAATGCCTGTGTCGTTCGAGTATGTAATTATACAATTTACAAGGTCAAAAGAGAGGAAAATTAAGGGAAGGATAGAATAATTAATTATGTATGCTGACTGCCCATATCCTAACAATTCAAAGGCCTGTTAGTTAATTCACACCATCCTACCCCCAACATACCCCTCCCCCACACACACACCTTTCTCATTCACATTCATATTGCCCCCCTCCCTCTCCTCTCCTCCCCTCTCTCTCTTTCT